TGTTGCCCTTGTCTTCATGTTCTGCGGTACCTTTGGCCTTTATTACGTGGTTACCTTTCCTTTCATTTTTAACCTGGGTATTTTGCCTTGAGCTTCATCTTTTTTGCTTGTCTTGTCTTTGCCCTTCTTTTTTATTCACATGGCGTTCGGCTTCATTTTTATCTGTTCGTTCCTCACACTTACTTTTATTTTTATTTTTGACTTCTTCTTGGCTTATCTTTTCTGCCTTTGCTAATCGTTATCTTCAATTATTTCCTATCCTGTCAATTTTTCTTATTTTCCTTCAACTTCTCATCCACATCCTTTTTTAAAACATTCTTTATTTCTCATAAATTGCTCAATTTTTTCTAATATACCCCTTAGTCAATTATTTTTTCTTATTCAATGTAATTTTTTTCTTGTTTCTTTCTTGACTTTCCTTGCACTTTGCTACTTTTTGCCTCCCCTTATTCTTCCTCAAAAAACCTCCTCTTTGTACATTATCTTCCTAGAACTGGTGCACATGTCTCTGTTCTGCTTCTCCTTATGTATTTTTGGCGTATTTATATTCCTTTGCAGTATACTCACCATTTCCATTCTTCTTATTTCGTTGTCAATTCTCTTTCTTTTTTTTTAATTTTCCTTATCTAGTGGGTATTCTTAATTGTCAAAAAAACACTTGCCCTTACAGCTTCTGTTACTCAGAGCGGTGTTTTCCATCTAATTTGATTGAAGTGTTTTTTACAAAATCTATTGGTCACTCCAATTTTTAATTTTATCACCATAAATCTGATAAATCGGATGATTCCAGTGTTGAGGAAATGACAGGCTGTTTGCAGTGCCATTGTTATTGTTATCAGGTGTTTTCTTACGGTGGTGACTCAGCTTCTCTCGCAGTTGGGAAGGAGGTTCAACCAATGCACCGGTTCATAATCCCAATTGTGCAAACCTTCCAGGGCACATGGATTGATTCTGGAAACACTACTCTCTGCTGCCATCAACATCTGACAGGCAAGGTGTAAGGCAAGTACAAATGAAGTGATTAGATGTGCCATCAATAAATTAGATTGAGAAACTTCCATTTTCTTAATTGTAAGTTGTGACTTACCAAGTTGCTTTTAATTGTTTTGAAATGGAACTTAATGTGATAGTTTCCCAAACAATATATAAAGGTAATTTGATTTATTTAACTTAACAGAAAAACTACAATAAATGGTGCGTAGTAAAAGAAGAATATTTGAATTTGACAAACATTAACTTTCTGCTCTCTTTGTTAGGTTACACCGGTCTCTTTTTGGCAACTAATGAAAATGATCCTCACAACCAAGCAAACACCGAAGACTCCTTATTGCTTGCATTGCAGCATGTAGAACACATCTTAGTGCAAGGCTTCACCTTACTCTAGGATTTCTCAGCTCTAGCCTATGAAGTTTTAAAGAATCGCATTTCCTTACATGAAGATGAAAATATGAAGTCATTCAGAAAGAAATTACAAGCTTCTTATGACTAGAACATGAAAGCCAACATTTTCATAATAGCTTTGTACTCTTGAAAAGTATCATGAATTAATTTGAGGAAATATTTTATCATTTAATTTAACACATACTAAAAAGGCCAACATGTTCTAAACTGCATTAAATAATTAGAAAATATTTGGGAGAATTGTAGTTGACACTTGCAACAACTTTTAAAAAGCACTTCACCTAAATTTTGCCATCACATTGATGTTTGAAATAATTAGCCAAGAAATTATTGTTTAAGCCTTTATTTAGTGAAATTAAATTAACATTACATAAGTTTTGGAATATGAAACACAATTTATAAGAATTAGTTGACTGCATTGTACACATGGTAGAAAATGTCTAAACTTTTCAATAATAAATTCGCAAGAAAATTTATTTACAATCATTCATTGAAATTTCAAAATACGATATTTCACTATTTCAATTTCATTGGAATATATTTTGCATGCACAGTCAATAAATAATAAAAAAGTCATTTAAACAGTAGATTTTCTGTGCCTTTGAGAGTCAAAACAAGATGTCTCATTTGATTACCACTATCCTTGTCGCTCTCTTAAACCATTCTGATACTAAGAGATGTAGAATTCAAATTCAATAAAATTCAAGTGAAGGGGGATTTGATTGTGGAAAGATGTGTAGAAAAATATAAAATATAATTAAAAAAATAACATTCACAGATACTACATTTAAAACATTCACATCATTGTCCCCAGCATTCAAATGTATCTCTGGATAAAGCAATAAGAAGCCTCCTGACAGCCAAGCATCAGCACGTGGAATATGAGTTGGTTAGCTGTCGCTCCGTGAGCTAACAACAGCACCTCCTGTCAGGGTCCTAAGTGTTGGCTTTCTATCGTGGTTATCGGTGATCCTCGCCAGCCACCATTGTGATTCAGCTGAGTAAGGGGAGCAGTCCTTGTGATGCAATAGACGATCACGCTCTGCAAACATTTGAAACAGGTCACTGTTTTGGTTAAGATAAAGAAAAGTTTGAAAAATTGATCTGTAATTAAAATTAGCCTTTGCCAGACATTCTACATTTTCTCTTGTTTACTGTATTTTGTTAAACAAACTATTCAGTTTATTATTTTTGTCAAATTGATCTTTAAGGTATGTTAGTGGAACAAATAATTAAAACAATGAAGTGTTGCAGTTGACAGACACACATTTTCTGTATATTGAAGAGCTAGTGGGAATTTTACAGACATTTTCTCATAACACTGGAGACCACATTGTGGCAGCGGCTGTGCAAATGGTTCTATGGAAACCCAGATAAGGACCTTGCCAACCATGTCCCTTCCCTAGTCCCCATCGCAACCTTTTGCTCTTACCTGCGCAAGTTAAGCCCACAATACAGAGTAAGCATGCCATTTGCCAAAACCTTGGATATTACTGGGCCTAGATGTGACCAGGATGCAGTTGACATCATGTGAGTCTGTCCATCTGAATTTGTACCAAAATATTACAATATTTGTTTTAGAATCTTTTCGTTGAAATTTTTAAAAATCTATTTCATTAAATTTATAAAAATTAAATTATGTGTATGAAAACATTAGTTTATCAAACAACACAAAAAATTTAGTCGTTTCTTGGACCATCCATTTTAGTTAAAACTAATTCAATTTGGCTCTGTTGTTCTTTTTTTTGTTAGGTGGCCTATGGAGTTTGTTCCCCAGTGATGAAGGAGGAAGTTTGCACTCCTTGTAAATGTAATCCATTTGATTGGTAGTGTCAGTGATGAGTGTGATGAAGAACAGGAACAATGTAAACTGTCGGAGTTGGTATTACTGTTCGTGACTGCCAGCTACTGTCCACGGACAGGCATGTTCTTACAGAATATGGCTTGTCAATGTAAATGTTTCAATTTCAGAAAGTTCCTGATTCTAAAAGAATTTACCATTAAATTTATTTAAAAACTTTGTTATAAAACTCTAAATTGTGTGTAGGGAGGCATGTTGTTTTCTTTCTTCTTCAAAATTCATGAAAACAATTAATTAACTCTCTTTTCGAAGTATCTTTAACCTTTGGCTATTGTGATTGGACAAAAGAATGCTACTGTAGCGTTGAAAATCATTTTTATCCACGTTGAAATTCATTTTTCGCTTTCTTTGAAATTTATCTCTTCTCCTTCTGTCAATTTTTCTTATTTTCCTTCAACTTCTCATCCACATCCTTTTTTTAAAACATTTCTTTATTTCTCATAATTGCTTCAATTTTTTCTAATATACCCCTTAGTCAATTATTTTTTCTTATTCAATTATTTTTTCTTGTTTCTTTTTCTTGACTTTTCTGCACTTTGCAACTTTTTTCCTCCCCTTCATCTTCCTCAAAACCTCCTCTTTGTCATTATCTTCCTAGAACTGTGCACATGTCTCTCTTCTGCTTCTCCTTATGTATTTTTTGTCGTATTTAATATTCTTCATATACTCACCATTTCCATTCTCTTATTTCTTGTCCAATTCTCTTTCTTTTTTTAATTTTCCTTATCTAGTGGTATTTGAATTGCTCAACATAAAACATTGCCTACAGCTTCTTTCTCAGTGGGTGTTTTCCATCTAATTTTATTGAAGTGTTTTTACAAAATCTATTGGTCACTCAATTTTAATTTTGTCACCATAAATCTGATAAATCCGGATGATTCAGTGTTGAGAAATGACAGGCTGTTAGTCAGTGCCATTGTTATTGTTATCAGGTGTTGTCTTACGGTGGTGTACTCAGCTTCTCTCGCAGTTGGGAAGGAGGTTCAACCAATGCACCCGGTTCATATCCATTAGTGCAACTTCAGGGCAATGGATTGATTCTGGAACACTACTCTCTGCTGCCATCAACATCTGACAGGCAAGGTGTAAGGCAAGTACAAATGAAGGATTAATGTGCATAATAATAGATTGATAACTCCATTTCTTAATTGTAAGTTGTGCTTACAAAGTGCTTTTAATTGTTTTAGAAATGTAACTTAATGTATGTTCCCAAACAATATATAAAGGTAAATGATTTATTTAACTTGCAGAAAAACTACAATAAAGGTGGTAGTAAAAGAAGAATATTTGAATTTGACAAACATTAATCTTTCTGCCTTCTCTTTGTAGGTTACACGAGTCTCTTTGGCAACTAAGAAATGATCCTCCACAACAAGCAACACGTGAGCTCCTTATGCTTGCATTGCAGAATGTAGAACACATCTTAGTGCAAGCTTCACCTACTCTGGATTTCAGCTCTGCTATGTAAGTTTTAAAATAATTGCATTTCCTTAACATGAAATGAAAATATGAAGTCGTCAGAAAGAAATTAAAGTTCTTATTGATAGAACATGATAGCCAACATCATAATAGTGTACTTTTGAGAAAGTATTCATAGAATTCATTTGAGGAAATATTTTATCATTAATTAACGCTTACTAAAAAGCCAACATGTTCTAAACTTCATAAATAATTAGAAATATATGGGAGAATTGTAGTTGACACATGCACACAACATTTAAAAAGCACTTCACCTAAATTTTTGCCCCTCACATGAATTTGAAATAATTAGCAAGACATTATTGTTTAAGCTTTATTTAGTGAAATTAAATTAACATACATAAGTTTGAATATAAAACACAATTTATAGAATTGTTGACATGCATTGTAAACACGAGTAGAAAATGTAAACTTTTCAATAATAATTGAAGAAATTTATTTACAATCATTCATTGAAAATTCAAAATACGTTTTCACTATTTCAATTTCATGGAATATTATTTGCATGCACAAGTTTAAAATAATCAAAAAGTTTAAACAGTAGATTTTCTTCCTTTGAGAGTCAAAACAGATGTCTCATTTTGATTACCACTATCTTGTCCTCTCTTAATACCATTCTGAATACTAAGAGACGTAGAATTCAAATTCAATAAAATTCAAGTGAAGGGGATTTGATGTGGGAAAGATGTGTAGACAAAATATAAAATATAATTAAAAAAATAACATAATCACAGGTTCTGGCATTTAAAACATTCACATCATTGTCCCCAGCATTCGAAATGTATCTCTGGATACAGCAATAGAAGCTCCTGGACAGCCAGCATCAGCACGTGGAATTGAGTTGTGTAGCTGTCCTCCTGAGTACAACAGCACCTCCTGTCAGGATCCTAGTGTTGGCTTCTATCGATGGTACTCAGGTGATCCTCGCCAGGCCACCATTGTGATTCAGCTAGTAGGGGAAGCACGTCCTTGTGAATGCAATAGACGATCACGCATCTGCAACATTGAAACAGGTCACTGTTTGGTAAGAATAAAGAAAGTTGAAAAATTGATCTGTAATTAAAATTAGCTT